ATTTTTGAAAATGTTCCGGAAATACTGCGTCCTTTAAACATATATCAAATTAAAGCTTATTTTATGTACTATAAAATGAAAAAATAAAATTTGTCACGACACTTTTTCTTCTACATTTAAACGGCTGCCGTAGTTAAAAAAACACTATTTTTGTGTTAAAATTTTCGATTTTCGATTTTAAATTTTCAACTTAAAAATGCTATAACTTTTTGAAAAATGTATATATCAGCACAAATTTTTTTTTTCTAAATACATTATAAGTACATCTTTCATTTGACATACTTTTTATTAAAATTGGACAATTTCTCCTTATATAGGGGGCGTTCAAAACTTAAAATATTGTAAAAAACATAAATTTTTTTCAACTGAACTTTTGAAAATGTTCCGGAAATACTGCGTCCTTTAAACATATATCAAATTAAAGCTTATTTTATGTACTATCAAATCAAAAAAAAAAATTTGTCCCGACATCTTATCTTCTATGTGCAAATGGCTGTCGAAAATTTAAAAAAAAATGTAATGTTTGCGATAAAAATGACCTTTTATCGGGATGTTTTTTGTACTTAAAACTGCCATAACTTTTTCAAAAATGAACAAATAAAAATAATATTTTTTTGTATTGAAACCTTAGATATTTCCCTTTCATTTGATATAATTTTTTTTGAAAATCTAACATTTATTCTGCTCACTGAGGGAATTTAAAATAGTAATTTTTTTACAAAAAATAACTTTTTCAACTTGATTTTTGATAATGTTCCGGAAATACTGCGTCCTTTAAACATATATAAAATTAAAGCTTATTTTATGTACTACAAAATGAAAAAAAAAAATTTGTCCCGACGACCTATCTTCTATACGCAAATGGCTACCATATTAAAAAATATGCTATTTTTGTATGAAAATTATGGGTTTTGTATTTTATTTTAATAGAAGTTGATGTTGCTTTTGCAATTATCCATCAATTTTTTTAAATTAAACACTATCTACAGACGAATGACGAATTATGACTATGACAATGATGGTGAAATTTGAATTTTGTCAAAATAAATATTTTAATTCGGTGTATTTGTATATTGTCAGTTTATAAATAGAATTTTTTTTATAGATATACAGGTGATTGATTAACTATGTCACACACATTATCTCTGAAAATATAAGAGTTATCTTTTTTTTTCTTCGTGAAATATTATGTTTATATCTTGATTAAGATTTTGATCTTTATTCTTTATATCTTGGCTGCTCAATGAGTAAAATTACATTTTTATAATCATCCCTTATGCTTTAAATCAGTATCAACTTTCGATTTTCAAATGGCAACCCTTTTTTTTTTTAATTAGATTACATTTAGTTTTAAAAAACAACCCAGCACAGGGGGGACGCGGCACAGTGGTGACGTGACATAGTTGGATCAAGTATAATGATATCTGACAGTAATTAAAATCACTATCATAAAAAACGCTTCGATGCAAATCTTTAGATAGTGTTTAATTTTAAAAATTGGTGGATTGTTCCAAAAGCTACATGATCTGCTATTTCCTTATTTATATCCTGAATAAAAAAGGGATTATTAAAAAATATTATTTTTCATAAAAAAATTGTGTTGATCCATACACTTTTCAATAAGTTATAGCATTATAAAGTTAAAAATGTAAAATATAATATCGAGAATTTTTACACAAAAATTGCATTCGGTAGCCATTTTCACCACGAAGACAAGTCCAAAGGTCAAATTTTTTTTTTTTATAATAAAGTACATTACATTAGCTTTAATTTAAGATATATATAAAAGTGTCAGATCTTCCTGAACATTTTCAAAAGTTAAGTTGAAAAAGTTAATTTTTTGTGAAAAAGTTGTCATTTTAAATCCCCCCCTGTGGGCAGGTAAAAAGTCAGATTTATAAAAAAAATATACCAAATGATAGGTAATGACATCAAGCATCTATAAAAAAAAAATTATATTGATATGTTCATTTTTGAAATAGTTACGGCAGTTTTTAGTAAAAAAAATTTCGAAAATTTCAAAAATTAGCGATTTTTAAATTTGTAATTTTTTTGGAGGTTTCCCCCATTTACGGGGAACGAGGGAAATTTTTTCAATTTTGAAGGGTAATGTCTTCGACTAGATACAATTTGTGATCTTTTGACGTATCGTTGAAAGAAATC